TTTTGTCTCACCTCCCACTCCAGCCACCCCTCCCTTCTCCCTTTACAGCAAAACTCTGCTGATGAGCTGTCAGTCCATTCCTGTCCTCTCCTGGATCTACTCCCGTCAGGCTTGGCCCTTGCTGTTCCTCCAAAACTGCTCTTGCCAACGTCACCATTGCTGAACTTGAGCTTCCTCCCTTGCCCCCATTACTTGATCTTGCAGCAACATCCATCTGACCAGATGGCTCCCTCCTCCTGGTAACGCCCTCTTCTAGGAGCTTCCAGGACAACACACCTACCTGACTTTCCTCCTACCTCTCAGACTGTTCTATCCCAGGCTTTTCTGCTGGTTCTGCCCCAGGTCACTGGCTTGTGTAAAGCAGTGCCCCAGAGTGTGATCACGGACTCCTTCTCTTCTCTATCCATACTCCCTCCCAAGATTGACACTAACAGAAATTTAATGTGAACCACATGTGTAATGTAAAGTCATCTAGTAGCAACATTCTAATTTTTTTTTTGAGATGGGGTCCCACTCTGTCACCCAAGCTGGAGTACAGTGGCCCCATCTTGGCTCGTTGCAACTCTTGCCTCCCAGGTTCTAGCAATCTTCCCACCTCAGCCTCCTGAGTAGCTGGGACTACAAGCATGTGCCGCCATGCCCAGCTAATTTTTGTATTTTGGTAGAGACAGGGTTTCCCCATGTTGGCCAGGCTGGTCTAGAACTTCTGGACTCAAGCCATCCACCTGCCTTGCCCTCCCAAAGTGCTAGGATTACAGGCGTGAGCAACCGCGCCCAGCACATTTTTAAAAAAGTAATAAGAAGGCCGGGCACAGTGGCTCACGCCTATAATCCCAGCACTTTGGGAGACTGAGGCAGGAAGATTACCTGAAGTCAGGAGTTTGAGATCAGCCTGGCCAACATGGTGAAACCCTGTCTCTACGAAAAATGCAAAATATTAGCTGGTCATGGTGGTGAGCGCCTGTAGTCCTAGCTACTCAGAGGCTGAGGCACGAGAATCACTTGAACCTGAGAGACAGACGTTGCAGTGGGCTGAGATCGTACCACTGCACTCCAGCCTGGGCGACAGAGTGAGACTCCGTCTCAAAAAAAAAGGCATAAGAAGCAGGTAAAATCATTATTATTATTGAGACGGATTCTCCCTCTGTTGCCTAGGCTGGAGTGCAGTGGCGGGATCTCGGCTCACTACAACCTCTGTCTCCCAGGTTCAAGTGATTCTCCTGCCTGGGCCTCCCAGGTGGCTGCTGCTACAGGCGTGCATGACCACGGCCAGCTAATTTTTGTATTTTTAGTAGAGACAGGGTTTCAGCATTTTGGCCAGGCTGGTCTCAAACTTCTGACCTCAGGTGATCCCCCCACCTCAGCCTCCCAAAGCACTGGGACTATAGGCTTCAGCCACCGCACCTGCCCAGTAAAATTAATTTTAATAACATTTTATTTATCCCAATGTAGCCAATTATTATCATTTAAACATGTAATCAACATAAAAACTATTAATGAAATATTTTAGCTTTTGTACTAAATGTTTGAAATTCATTGTATATTTTTCACTTAGAGCTCATCTCAATTTGGATGCTAAATTTTCATCAGAAAATCTTTATCTGTATTTAGATTTCACAAACTCTGCTGCTGAAAAAGTCGATTTATATACTTGAGTTGTTCCAAACATACTTAAAACATTTCCAATAACTGAATCAGATATCAGTTTTCAAAATTTATGTTAATTATTAGTTCTAGGCTGGGCATGGTGACTTACACCTGTAATCTCAGTGTTTTGGGAGGTCAAGGTAGGAAGATTTCTTTTTTTTTTTTTTGAGACGGAGTTTCACTCATGTCACCCAGGCTGGAGTGCAATGGCGCGATCTCGGCTCACCGCAACCTCCGCCTCCTGGGTTCAGGCAATTCTCCTGCCTCAGCCTCCTGA